TGGGATATATTGGGTGCTCTTGGTGAATTTGACTTACATCTTGGCGAGTCTATTGAGACTGTAGCATTGTTTATGGTAGTTGCACAACCCTCACTTGTAAATCGAGTGTTAAAAGCACAGAAGGGTGACCTTGATATGGAATCCCTCCGGGAGAAGATCTCTAGTGGAATGGTAGAGAAGAGCTTGAATGTGCATCTTGACCTGAGTGTGAGATACCGTGACCGTTTGTTTATACCGGAGTCTTGTCAAGAGGAAGTACTCTAAGAGTTCCACCATTCGTGCCTTGCGGTGTATCCGAGAGGCACAAACATGTATCACAAGTTTTGGTGGAGAGGTATGAAGAAGGATGTAGTCGTGTTTGTATTGAAGTGCCTTACTTGTCAGCAAGTGAAGGCCGAACATCAGAAGCCAGCAGGTTTATTACAACCCTTGCCTATAGCCGAGTGGAAGTGGGAGCATGTCACAACGGATTTTGTTGTGAGCCTTCCGAGGACTCAATGGGGTAGTGATGCCATTTGAGTGATAATTGACCGGTTAACCAAGTCAGCGCACTTTTTACCTATGCATGAAAGTGACTCGATTGTAAAATGAATGCACAAAAACACATAAATGCATAGAACTCTATCATGGATAATCAAGAGCATCGGCGATCGAGAATTGAGACACGTTTCATCACTTGAAGTATGAAACGTTTCTCGTTTCTCGTGCTTGGATTAACACTTAATCCAAACAACAATGCAATGCAAGGATGGCACACACAATGCTAATGTAATATGAACAACCTAGCAAGGCTAATGGCATGCATAATGCTAATGCACATGGCACACAATACGATGTAAGGCAAGCATGCATGCCAATTGGCTCAAGAATTAAGGCATAAAGATGGAACCCTTAAGCACACTTGAGGAATGAAAAGCATGCAAGTGTGACAATACTACATGCTCTGAAATGATATTAGGAATGATGCCAAATCATAGACATAACACAAGCATGGCATGCATGAAGCTCAAAAGCTAAGCATTTAGCAAAGGGACTTAAGCCATGGCCATACAAAGCAAGCCCCAAAGGGCTAAGGGAACCTAAAATAGTCCCCAGGCAAGTCCAAACAAGACCAAAAACAAGCTTGAAGCTAGCCAACACAAGCTAGAACACAAGGCCAAAAACATGGAGCATGCAAGGCTACAAAAGAGGCAATGCACTACACCTATTAAAACCAAATATGGCATGACTTGGACAGCATAAAACAGAGTTACATCATGGCATAACAAGACAAAAAATGCACTGATATGATGAGCCAAAGGCTTAGGCTTAATGGCATGCACAAAAGTTCATTCTTGAGGCATAAAGAGCCAAAGCTCCAAAGCATTAAAAGCATGCCAAATGCAAGTGTATGGCCACATTTCATGGACTGAAATAACGCTTAGAATAATGGCAAAGCATGCAAACATCACATGTATGGCATGGTAGGGGCCTCAAAAACTAAGACTAGCCTAAGCATTTACACTATAGCCATACAAAGCATGAGTGATATGGACATGGCATCCCAAAATAGTCCAAGAACAACCCAAAATAAGAACAAAATCATGCTGGAGCAAAGCCAAAATATGCTAGGATGATGAATCAAAACATCATGCACATGAAGCTAGTAAGCAAGATTTGTTCTACAAGTATATGGAGCATGTAAAGGATGACCAAACCCACTATAGACAGAGTTATGACATGGCAAAACATCACCAAAAACATGCTGAAATGGCAAAGCATGCAAACATCACATGTATGGCATGGTAGGGGCCTCAAAAACTAAGACTAGCCTAAGCATTTACACTATAGCCATACAAAGCATGAGTGATATGGACATGGCATCCCAAAATAGTCCAAGAACAGCCCAAAATAAGAACAAAATCATGCTAGAGCAAAGCCAAAATATGCTAGGATGATGAATCAAAACATCATGCACATGAAGCTAGTAAGCAAGATTTGTTCTACAAGTATATGAAGCATGTAAAGGATGACCAAACCCACTTTAGACAGAGTCATGACATGGCAAAACATCACCAAAAACATGCTGAAATGGGCTCAACACAAGTTAGAATGACATGCTAAAGCAAAAACCATACAAGACTAGTTTAAGAGATTTGCACTACAAGTGTATCATGCATGCATGAAGTGACAAAACCAACCCAAAATAGATCTAAGGCATGGTAAAATATCACCAAAAACCTACTGAAATGGAGCCAACACATGCAAGAAGAACATGCTACTTCGTAAGGCTATGAATGGGATTACACTACACATGTAAGATGCATGCAAAATATGACCAAACCAGCCATGGAAAGACTTAAGGTAGGTCCTAAAAGTCACAAAAAATGGCCTGAACCAAGCCTCAAAAATACATAGAGGCATGCTCCTTTGGAAGGCCAAAAATGCAAGCAAACAAGAACCGAAAGAGAGGGGGCCACTCCCTCTGATTTGAGGCCTCAAGACTTCATGCCTACCATGGAAAATCCATTGGATTTTAGTGGTTAGAAGGCCAAACCAAGGCTAGCTCGGAGGCCTTAAGGCATGACTCAAAACAAGGCCAAACAAGGCCAACAAGAGGGTTGAAGACCCTCAACAGCCAAAAGACCTTAAACAACCACCAAAAGCACTTAAAAACAAGACTTTTTTCAGTCGAAAGCAAGGCCTAAAACAATATGCAAGAATGGCCAAAATGAGATACAAAAAGGTGCTAAAATGGGGGAAATACTCACCCTTGAAGACCAACTTCGAGATTAGTAACCTCAAGGGGTAAAACCTCACTTTCAGAGCTCAAGAAGTCCTCCCAAGAACCTCAGTCCAATGGTGGTGGTGTATCTCTGTGTTGTAGTGTAAAAGTGCAAGGAAAATGGACTAAAACACAACAATATAGAGAGAGAGAGCAAGAAATATAGAGAGGGAGAGTTATATCTCTTGTAAAAGTGCTGAACCTCTTCTAAGGAGAGAGCCTCTCTCCTTATATAGAAGGAAAACAATGCAAAGCTTCTTCAAGAAGCTTGGCAAGAGCTTCATCCTTCCATACACATGTATGGAGGGCAGATAAAAGGATTCCAGCTGGCTCAAAATATCTGGACTAAAACCAGCTGCGACAGGGGTTCTGCCGGCCATCAGTAATGATGGCCGGCATTCTCACTCAATGACCAGCAGAAACAAATACATGGCCGGCAGTGCCAGACCATGGCCGACAGTGCACCAGGAGAAAGATGCTGAAAGGACCAAGTCATGGTCCAAGAATGGGGCAGAAAGGATACAAGGTCTGGAAAGCTCGAACCTGTGACGTTTCGCCGCGAAAGTCGAATGCCCGACGAGCAATCGAACTTGTGTCCGGATGTACCTGCAAGCACAACCGAGTCTTGAAAGAATTAAGGCATAAAGATGCAACTCCTAAGAGCACTTAAAGAGTGAAAAGCATGGATGCGTGACAACACTATAAGCTCTGAAATCATGTATGGAATGGTGTCAAACCACTCAAACAACACAAGAAATGTGCCAAAACTAAACACTCGCGTCCTAATGCATTGGTCCCGCTCGAGCGGCGGATACACACTCCCAGAACTTTTACAGAACCAGATCTCCGCTCGAGCGTCAAACCTCCCGCTCGAGCGTCACACACAACAACCCGCTCGAGCGTCAAAACTCCCGCTCGAGCGTACGACTCTGCACAAGAAATACTGGATGGGTGAAATTCCCGCTCGAGCGCCAAAACCCCCGCTCGAGCGGACAGGCCAAAATCTGGGCAACTAGTTTTGGTTTCTAAACTCAACCGACCTGTACCAAACCCGCTAACTCAAAATACCAAGAGATTAAAGGACAACAACAACCAATATATAATGACAGGATCCACCGAACCTAAGTCCGGACACAATAATCTAAAGGGAAAGGACCGGGGTCGCTATATATAATGATGCTAGGAAATGAAAACATTAAAATGGCCAATGTTAGGGTGACTATTGCATGCACCTTAGCAATGTGAGAGCGAGTGCGAGCGCAGTAACTTTGTTTGTAGATTTGTTGATGGGGGCAATGGGAAGTAGATTACAAGATTGTTTCTGTGTATATAATAAATGTAAATTATGTTATTTTTGACATTCTGTTTTTGTTTGTTAAAGATAAAGATAAAAATAATAATAATAATAATAATTAATGTCATCAAATGTTGAGAGTAAAATATATATATATATATATATTTAAAGATTTATTTATGTACGAATCAAAAAATAAAATCTTTTAGATCATCATGAAATCTTTGTGTATTGGCAACTGTGAATTTTTATTATGCAAAATCGTGATCTCAAGTGGAGATTGAAGGGGATAACCAGCTTGTTATTCACTTGTGTGTCTCTGAAAATGTTCTGCCTTGAGAGTGTGGTGCAATATTTACTGATATTAAGCAGATAGCAGCTCAAGGGAGCTTCTCTTTTAGTTGGAGGCCAAGAACCACCAAGAAGGTTGCTCATTGGGTGGCCCAAGCCTCTCTCCATGGCCGCCTTCCTCTTGATTGGGTCGCTAGCCCCCCAACAGAGCTTGCTGTACTTCTTAAATCCTCGTAGCTTAGGCTTTTCCTCTGTTTGCTGCTGTGAGCTTTCTTTTGGGATACGTTTGCCTTTGTTTTTGGGCTTCTCTGGTTTAAAGCTTCCTTTATTCAAAAAAAATATAAAAAATAAATCTATATAATAAGACAGAACGGTTTTTGAAAATATGTAAAATGTATCAGAGATACATTTTAATTTAAGGGCTCAGATCAATTGTAATACACATCAATGGTTGAGATTTTGCTTCAATTCCCACCCAAACACTCGATGCTCTGTCCCACCTACCCACGTCTCCTCCCCCATTCCATCTTTATCTCTTCTCTGTTGCATGTCTCCTCTCATTCCCTTCTTATCTCTATCTCCCTCTTTGTTCCTTTTCTGTATCTTTCTCCATCTCTCTCACTCGATCTCTGCCTTTCCCCCTCTCCCCCTACCTTCCCGCTCGCTGCCTCTCCCCCTCCACCCGATCTCTGTCTCTCCCCCTCTCCCCCCACCTTCCCACTCGCTGCCTCTCCCCCTCTCCCCCCTTTCGCAACCCTCCCACTCAATTTCTGAAGGCTAGGGTTTCCGATTAAGAACCGCGATACCTCTCTGAACCCCGATTGGAGCTCTCCGGTAGAGCTACTTCAGAGCTACACCAAACCTGAGGCTTCTATCTGGGCAAGGTAATGTTTCTGTCTCTATTCCTCTTCTCTCTCTATTCACGGTTTTGGAGGTTTTGTGAATGATACCTCCAACTTGGGTAATGTTTCTGTTTTTTTAACAGTTATGTTTGATTATGTGTGGTTCAATTTTCAGGATTTTAACAATGTTAATTAGTCTAGAATTTTTTGTTTTTGTTTTGTGCAAGTAGATTTCATGTTAATCTTTCAGTGGTTTTACTTAATAGTAGTTAAGAAATGAAGCAAACTGTATAAAAAAGATGATTCTTGCACTTTATATCAAAATTGTAAATTTAGGGATTGTAGATGATTCGTGTATATGTTTTTTTAAAGTAATCGTTCAATTCGTAATTTGGGAATTTATTGATATTATTATTCTTTGATTTTTGGGTATGAAAGAGGAAAGAATTTAATAGTTATCACGTGTGCTTTAGTTATGATGTTTGTGCTATCAGTCCCATTTCATTCATGGATACAAAAAAATAAAAATAAAAATTGAACTTTTCTGCAGCCCAGGTATTTGAGTAAACTTCTTCCGAATTCCGCACCAAATCAACCAGAATCATTGCAAGATGTTCTCAGTGGTGAAGTTTCTTAATCCTGTGCATACTTTTAAACTATTTCATCAAGAGGCCTAAAAATTAAACAGAAAAATGTTTAATTGCATACACCATATCAATGTATATACCAACCAACCAAACTAAGTAATGTGTCCCACTCAAATGGGGTTGGCAACATGAATCCTTTCTTCGCTATTTTAATTGTGGGTACATATGTCCAGTCAAAGATATACCAGGGGTAACCCATTGGCAAAGCCCGGATTATTTTGCATATTTTCCCTCTAATAGTAGTATCATTGGATTTTTAGGAGAAATGCTCAGTGCTGGTATTAACATGGTGGGTTTTAGTTGGATAACTTCTCCTGCAGCAACAGAACTTGAAATGATTGTCCTGGATTGGCTTGCTAAACTTCTTAAGCTTCCTGATGATTTCCTTTCAACAGGTATAGTTTGCTATGTCTATATTTATTAGCATTTGATTCTTGTAGTAACTTGGAAGGTACAACTTTTTCCCAGTTCAAAAATAAACATTCTTTTTTCTCAAGACAAAAGAGACCTTTGCATTTGCCTTTTTCATTTTGATGGTTGATGTCATTCAAGCTGAGGTCGTTAATAGATTTGTTAAAGAGAAGAAGAATAAAAAAAGGTTTGGTGCTTTATTTTTTAGACATTATAAAATGGCAACTTAGCTTTATATGTTACTCTAGGCGGAGGCGGACTTGGTGAGCTTTAATTAATTTGTTGGACCAGAATTCTGAATATAACTCACGGCTTTAACTAAGTTTGGTTGACGAGAAGTGAAAGGATATAAAGAGTGGGTGAATACCTAAGCAAAAAGGAGAAAAAGAAGGAAGAAATAGTGCTTTAGTTATGATGTTTGTGCTATCAGTCCCATTTCATTCATGGAAGTGGGTAGTCAGTTGGGTAAATCTGTGTTCTTCCTTGGTTGTTGAGACCATACCAATCATTTAGAACTTCATGGAAAGGGCTTTTTCGGGCAAATGGTTATTTTGGTTCAATTATTATATTTTGTGGAATTTTAACAAGATCAATGAAAATGACGATTACGAGTGTGATATTGATTTTTTTTTAAGTATATTTGTTTTGTTCAATTTGTATATTTCATTATAGTGTTTGAAACTTGCAAAATTCAATGAAATAAATGAGAAAAACATACTATTTTTGGTCATTAATTTTTTTGCCTTTCCCTATCTATAAAAATTAGAATTAAAATTTTTTTGTTAAGTTTCTAATTTTTCTCTATAATTTTAGAATTTAGAATTATACTAAAAAAACACCGTGCCTTTAGGCACGGGCATACGCTAGTCATCATACATATATCTATTGAGTATATATGTTTTTATTTTATTTTATTTTTTTATGTATATAGATATAGGATTTTGGAGGGGATTTGAAAAAAAATTAGAGATGATTGGGGTTCAGAAGGAGTCTTAAAGGATGAAGAGGCTCTTTGTTTAGATGCAACACATTATGGAAATGTTGCAAGGTTTATTAATCATAGGTAAGTTCAACAAAACACAGAAGCGCATATGCCCTTGTGGCTTCCTCTTAATTATTAATGTGTTCTGATCCTTGTTGGTTGTTCCTCAGTCATTAACATTTGGTTTTACTCTGAAATTATCATAACTGATGTGTATATGTATATGATGGTAAGTTTTCATTTTCATCCATTTTCATTTTCATCTACTCTCTTTTTCCTCCTTATTTGGTTGTGTTTGTTTCCTGAGAAATGTGTGATGGTGTTTGGTGTTTTGCAGATACAAGAAGTGATTCGAGGTACCAAGGACGCACTTTCTCTAGCTCAGGTTTGTTTACTCTCTCCAATGTTTGTCAAAATTTACTTACCAATTTTAGTTTTTGGTATGTGGGAAATTGAGAGATGTGAAAAGTTTTTGTTTTGTCCCTTTTAGGTCTCAAATTTGTAATTCACCAATTCATCTTCGACGAGAACATGTTCGGATTACTGAAATCATGGCCTCGAAAATCTCAATTTTTTGATGATCATTAACAACCAATTACATTTTCCTGATTAAAATCTAATTGAACTCCAACTTAATTAACTTATTTATTTATTTATTTGTTTATAGCCTTGTTGCTTCTACCTAAAGTTTATTACCGGCAAATTGATTTGGGGAACATACAGTCTGTGTTGAGATATGAGTTTACAATGAGTTGTGAACATGTGTTATTGTTTTAACTTCAAATGAGGTACTTTGTAAAGGTGGTTGGGAAATGGGAGTGGTGAGTTATATTATAGACCTTGTTTGTGGGCCTGAAAGTATAATTTCAGTGTTTGTATAATACTAACTTATATTAAAAGCATGTAGTGTGCATGTCTTAATTTATCCAAAACAGGTTGTATTTTTGTTCCTGTTGCTTTCTAAACTCCTCAATATGTTGAACAAGCACAATTAGGAACAGGTTGACTATTAATTATATATATTTTGCTTAATACATTAGTGTAGGTATTAGGTATATGTGGTGGTTGGTTGTGGACCTCTGGGAAGATAGCAAACACTTCAATGGCTAAGGATTGCTGGAGGTGGTGGACGAGAAGACCAAGGATTGATTGGTTTAACATGATTGTCAAAAGTCTCATTCATTATGAACTGGAGGAGAAGACCACGGATTGCTAGAGGTGGTAGTCCCTTTTTATTGATTTTTATCTCATTCATTACAAACTTTTCTTTTCTTTTCTTTTCAGTTTGAATAAAGAATTCCTATCTTATCCTGTTTTTGAAACTCATGTTGTTAGGGTGGGGCTTGGTAATGCCCTGTTTTCTGTCTATCCATGTTTTTGTTCTTTTGTTTTTGTTTTTGCATAAAACAAAATAAAAAACAATATTTGGTACATCATACATATGTTTTTAAAAATATAAAATGAGATTAAGAAAAAATGTTCAGTGAGTGGAGGGAGGAGGTACGCAGGGGATAGGGAATGAAAAATTGTTTTGAAAATAATATTTTTTCTTTAGATTTTGAAATTGAAAATTGTTGTCTTTTTTTTGGAAACTAAAACAGTTCTCAGATGTGTTTTTTCATTTATAGTTTTAAAAATTCTTAAAAAAAAAAACTGGGCCCTAGAAGATTTGAGTCCTAATATTGTTCCAGACTTATTTTAGATCTTGTGATGGATGTAAACCTCCTTCCGAACAAATTGTCCTACAATTGGCATTTGATTAAGTGCAACTTTGGATCTTGTGACCATTCTGGTTGAATAAGTTGGTATGATTCCTTTTATTTATTTTTTTGTTAGTGCACATCATCCAATAGTGATTTCCCTATAAGCCATGCTAGTCAACTTTCAAATCCGTTCCTTAGTTTGCCGCTTGAATTTGGAAAATGTGAATCATGTGGTGCTGCGGAACCCGGGACATGCGAAGGTATTTTTCATGTTTTAATCCTTTTTATTTTCTGATTACACTGAGAAGTTTGAATGGTCATGACCGCTGGACACATTGAAGTATTGCTAAAGTTTTGTTCATTTTTTTACCTTTCAGGTCACTTTGGGTGTATAGAATTACCAATTCCAGTATATCATCCTTCCCATGCGAGCGAACTAAAGCGGTTGTTGAGCTTGGTTTGCTTTAAGTGCTTGAAGTTGAGAAGTGGGAAGGTAATGGATATGTTTATAGAAGGCTTCACGTAAAATCTATTTGTCATAAGTAATTAAATCCTTTTGCTTTCTTGATTGAGAGGGTAGCAGATTATTGTGTTGTGTTATGGAAAGTGTAAGTTTCTGCCACTGCATCCTCAGAAGTCATGCTCTGCCACTAATATTAACTTCAATACTGTTTACTCCTGTTAGGACTGCTAACATTGCTTTATACTTGTCTTTATAAGTTTCTATTACTTTTTTGGGGTTTATTAGTTTGCATGCTTCTATTACACTTCGTGCCATATCCACTGGAGCTTGTTGCACAGAATCCTGCTTTCTTTGTGTCTTTTCATTGCTCCTTGATATTTGATTTCCTCTCTTATGTGGTGAAACATAATGTCACTAAGATATATGCCTATGCTAGTTGCTCATACTATTGTTTTGTGCTTGGACCAGTTTATGCAGATGGAAGTATTTGTCTGGATATTCTACAAAATCAGTGGAGTCCAATATATATAGTTGCTATACTGACATCTATCCAGGTAAAGTCTGGCTTAAGAGTGATTCCAGAATATGCCAACAGATGGTTTGGCGCGTTGATTGAGAAAGGTAAAGTCTTGGAGTGTGCACCGATTCTGACAAAAATGGGCGAAAGAGATCCAAAACCAGATGCCATGAGCTATGATATTGTGATTAGGGGGCTTTGCAAGGAAAGTAATTTCGACATGAGTGTTGAATTACTGGGTCAGATGTTGAGGTATAATGTTGGTGTTACTCCTGTACTGAAGCAGTTTTTAAATGAAGAATTTGGGAAAGTAGGCCGAGGTGAGGAGATTGAGAGACTTTTAGCAATGAGCGGGCAGGGTTATTATCGACCATCAGGGCCATCAGGACCCCCTCGAATGCCAGGACCTGTAGGAGTATGATTTGAGGTACAATATCACAATTTGAAGTGCCTATTTTTATGTCTGTGATCTTTGATTTGGGCAAGATAAACTCTAAATTATTCATATATACTGAGTGTGTCATTGTGCCACAAGTATGAGGTGTTTAGTTGCACTTAAGCTGTGATATTGAGGTAGTTTTTTTTGGCAGGGAGTCAATTAATGTTATTGAAGTCTGGTTGTGGCCACTGAGTCTCTTGCTTATGTTTTTCACCTGTCTAATCTGGTGATTAAATTATTGTTGTTGGGACCTCTCCATATTTATTGAAGATGTTTTAATTGATAAATTATTATTAGGACCATATTGCTTTTGGTTGTATGTATATGTGCACATTGCACAATTTGTTTCTGGTGCTACAAGTGAGGCATTTTTGGTACAAAACAAATAGGCTAACAGGCATAGGGAAGATAGCACTGCGGTAGATTTATCGTGCTATTTGAAGTACAATTGCGTGTGGTGTTTTGAGATGCTGTGTTGTTTTGTTTTTGCATGTAATGCTGATGGATGAAAATTTGAAATGTTGTGTGATAATGGTGTTTGCTATTCTGTTGTTGGTTATAAGTGTGGCTTTTATTTTATCATATAAAAACATGGAGTGTTTACTTATTTTTTGTAGGCGTTATTTTTTTCTTATAAAAACATCAAATGTAGTGTGGAATAAGAACATTAGAAAAATATCTAAGTTCGTTCTTGCTGAGTCATGGGGGAAATTGCCATTATGTGAGGATACCTGATGTTCTTTTGTCATTGTAGATTAAGGATCATCCCAGTTGATACTATGTTCCAAGATTTCTTGAATGATTTGAACTTTCTTGAGTACATGTTAGGTGGGTCCTTGGGTTGTTACAAAAGGGTCCTTGGGTTGTTACAAAAGGGTTCTCTCGGAAATGGCAATATTTGCCGAAATGGCATATTCTGGAATCACTCTTAAGCCAGTCCAATCAGTGGATACTCTTAAATTATTGACGTTGGTTATTCATATATTATGTATGGATTTAAATCATGGTTATTCATGTATTATGTTGAATGCTTTAATG